TGTAAGTATTTTTAAAGGCGTATTTCTTATAAAGTGTGATCCTAATCCGAGAAATCAAGACCCTTGTTTTAGTTCATTCCCCTTCTGAGACTTTTGTACAAAAAGCTAAGGTTCTTAATCCAAGACTGGATGCAACTCTTTTTCAGCGTCCCTTGTAGGCATTTTTATACGTTTTTTGAGAAAGTGTCTTCGAATCCAAGATATCAAGACCCTTGTTAAATTTCGTCCCCCTTTTTAGGCGCTTCCATACCACGCTGGAGAAATTTGAAAATGTAGCTTTGTTTCTACGGTTAGGCCTACCGTCCACATTAATCCGTCACGAAAACGGAACTTTTCGAAAACGCTCTTCAAACCGGGGGAATTTGTAAACGCCGACCTTTGGTTTTCGTGTGGACAGAAACACATTTTGAAAACGGAGCTTTACGAAGACAATGGCCTCACGATAATCATGTGATTTTCTTAACCGAGTTTGTCTCCAACACAAATCCAAAATGACCGATGATTGTTGGGTTTTTAAATTGGACGGAGGACATTTGATGCGTTTTCAGAGTGGAACCACCGTTTTCAAATTCCTCCGGCGTAATGTGGGCGGGGCCTGAGACTGTGGAAAAAGATTTTATTCAAGACTGAATATAACTTTTTCTCAGAGACGCTAGGTCCTGGGGAGTTTTTGTTTTTTAGAATTTCTTCCCGTCGGATATGCTTAGGGGCCTGTTTACAAGGAGGGAGGGTTACCCTAGCAAGCAGGTTAACCCTAGTAGGAGCTGGAGGGCAAAAGATAGCCCGGGTTTACAAGAAAAATTTTACAGGTAGGATAACCCTACAACCCGGGACATGTTAATGCGCGGTTACACTCAAAGGGTCTGGAAACAATTACAAAGTTAACTCGGATAGGCGGGTTAACCTTACCTGGAGTGTTTACAAGGGAAAAAGCTAAACCGCATGCCAGGGTAACCCTAGCTTACCAAGACCAGAAATATTGGAATTGTTACTTGAAGTAAATCTCAGTTAGAATTCCTCTACAACAATTAGATTATTCGCTCTCTATTTCTATGAGGCGATAGTTGATTGGGCCTTCGGCCTCATCAACTATCACCTCATAGAAATCTGGAGCTCATAATCTAATTGTTAAATAGTCCTTCAGATATATCCGCTAGCGCCATTGGTCTAAACGCGTCAAGTGACTGAATATTCCCCAGCTAAAACTGGGGAACATCCGAGTGATATTCCCCAATTTTCAAAACTGCGCGTGTTGGGAAAAATATTTGAAGGATAAGCTCGTGAAAGTTATCATACAGGGTAGGGTTGTTGGAAAGATGGATAACGCTATCTACCGGATAAATCACTATCCAGTGTATAGCGTGGTTTGTTTTGTTAACACTTATCCACTGGACAGCGATTTATCCCGTGGATAGCGTTATCCAACCTTCGAAAAACTGGGGCCTGGTATATATTTTAATAGTGAGTCAGCTTTGTGCTAGTCACTCGGTCCGGCGATCTTCAATTTTTTATGCCCAAGTACTCATTAGTTAAATTCAACTCACAGGGCCATAGGTATTAACAGGCAAACTGAGACACTTGCTTCAGTCCTTTTTTCGTTTTTGTCTTTTGTTGCTGTTGCTTTTCTGAAGGGGTAAAGTAAAACACTGCCAGCAAATATATAAACAAACACACAACGTTACCTCTGTCATTATTCTTTTTCTGGCTACGGCCCAGACTCAGTCGCTTTAGCATTAAAATAACGTGGTTTAATGAATGCTTATTACGTGTCAATTTCGTGTTAATTTTTCAGGTGAAATATGATGCAACTAACTTCCTGGAAAAGAATCGTGACACGCTGTCTCCTGACATCATACATGTGTTGAGGTCGAGTGGTAAGGAGTTTGTAATCTTACGTGTGAATTATTAAGATTTTGCTCTGCCTGTTTTTCGTTTCGTGTTAGCTAACGTCTAAACCTCTTCCTTGGCCTGTGAAAGGTGCGCTGATTTGAGCAAATTCTTGAGGCCACGCCCTCACAATTTTCTCCTTTTTGTCCAGTCGGATAGTAGCCACATGCAGCCGCTGTGAAAGCTAGCAACCACAGACAAAAGTCTTGGGACAAATTTGTACTCTTGGTACTCTTGGGGCTTTAGCGCGCACGCCAGACGCGAATACAACTTCACCTGCCTAGCCTCTCCACCCCCCCTGACATACTATGTTGAAAACTACCACCTGCAATTTCTCCTGATTTTCAACATTATATTGGGCGGAGAGGGGGAACAGCAACGCGTTTTTAAAAGGATCGCAGTGCTATTTTGAACTTCAGTTTTAAAACACAGATAAGTCGTTGCATTACGTAAGTGTCGTAAGGACTTTTGTCCATGATTGTAGCAACTAATGTAACGGTCGGCTTATCGGTGTCTCGTGATCAGCATACAATAGGTTTGGGTGATCAAATTGTGACGAGTGAAATTAGGAAATAATTTCACGTGCGTTTTGTCCAAATTCTAATGACTTTCCGAGCCTTTAGGCGAGATAAATGTCGCGCCAAACGTTGCAATCGAAATTATGAATTAACGCTGAAATTTCGCGCCAAAATTAAGGAGTAATTTGTCACCCATGATTTTACATTTAATTAATTTATTGTTATCTTTGGGACAAGCGCAAGGTGTGCATTGGTAGCTTTTGGTAGCAGGATTACAGATTTTTTTACTTCATACTCATATTTCGCGTCTTTTTGTAACAGATAATCGGCTTGTGCGAACTCTAATGCAGCATCCATTGTCTGGATCAGGTTAGTTGCTTTGTACGTCATGCCTAACTAAATAAAATTACCATATAGTCAAAAAATACCTTGAGTAAAAGAACAGTGCACTTTAAACATAAGCCCCAAACGTTTTAACATTTACCGAGAATTTATAGTAACATCGGTGGCCTCATGGTTAGTGCGCTCGCCTCCGGATCGAGCGGTCCGGGTCCAAGCCCTGGCAGGGGACATTGTGTTGTGTTCTTGGGCAAGAAACTTTACTCTCACAGTGCCTCTCTCCACCCAGGTGTATAAATGGGTACCGGCGAACTTAATGCTGGGGGGTAACCCTGCGATGGACTAGCGTCCCATCCAGAGGGGAGTAGAAATACTCCTAGTCGCTTCATGCTACTGAAACCTGAGATAAGCGCCGGCCTGATGGGCCACTTGGCTCCTATGCAGACTTTATTGTTTCATCATGTGGTACCTTTTCCCACGTAGCCATGTTCAGTATTCGAGTTTCTACCTTCACGCTAATCATTTCTGATTGACCTTTCATTGAATTTCCCTCATTTATGATATTGAAGAAATGTTGAAGACAGAAGTAAATGGCAATAAAATCTATTGGCTCACCAGACAATACCTGTTTGAGAAAGCTCCGATTTTTATTTCACTGAAGATGTCTTTTCATTCTTTTTCCTTGTTAGGATCTTCATTCAATACTCACTTTTGAAGTCTTCTTTGCTTTATGTCGTTTACCTTAGTAAACGACATAAAGTTGTATTCTTCTCACACACTTCGCCCAGCAGCTGTTATTATTTTTTTCTTTCTGTATTTCTTCTTAATTTTATGTTTTTCCTCTGAAGAACACTCATCACTATTTTCCATTTTCTATTCTTACTGCTCTTCTGCTCTCTTTGTATTCTTTCTTCATCTCACTGTCGTGCCCAGATGTCTCGCGCTGCAACACTGATGATGGCACACGCACATTAGATCCCCACTGGTGGAGGGTGAACAAACCCTCTCTAGGGGTCCCAGAGGCTTTGTTAGATTACAGACCTAAAGAAGGCTGGCTTAAAGGCATTCTGATTAAGAGAAAGACTCGCGGTAAGACTGCATGATGACAAACCGAGAGATTAAATCTTTACCTCCTCTTGTTTCCTCTAATGGTATTGCTTCATTCTCTTACCCTCACTCTTAAGTGTCTCGTGTCTCCATTGCCTCACCCTAAGTTTGTCTCCTTAATGTTATCACACCCCATGAATCTCTAGTCTATGTGAGCATACCCCAGGTACGAATTATTTTTCGTCTGCCTACAACCTAAGAATCACTCGTCACTTTTCTTACACGAAGGTTCTCTCACGTATTAAACCTCAAGAATACCTTGTTTATATGATCACAATGAGAATCCGTTGTCAGTTCCCTCTACTTTTCTTAAGAATTCCCTCTCTATAACCACATCACACAAATCTATCAGTGCCTAAGAATCTCATTTCATCACTATTATATTACCTTTACTCACTTGTCGTCTTTCCTCCTCTTATCTATAACCACACCCCACTGTGACAAATCCCTCGTCTAACTACACCAAAAGAAACTCTTTTCTCATTATGTACTTTTCGAGGATCACTATTCTGTCCATTTGTTTCGAGGCGATTCTTTTCTTTTCAGTTGGAAAGTTTGGCTGTTGGAAATGAGCTTGTCGTTGGTTCCTTTGCATGCATATTCACTCTTGCCATTTGTGGGCTCGTAATTTATTCCCTACCCAATCTTCTAGGATTCTTTCAGTCTACCTGTTGTAAGAATCCTGGTTTGCTTCTCCTTTCTTGAAGAATCGCAGAAACCTCAGCAACGTACCCCCTCAGTTTTCGATTGCAAGGTTTTTGGAAGCGGCCGTATTTGTATTAGGGTGACTTCATTTGCTTGCATAATTGCCGTTGTATGATTTTAGCGCTCATTCATCAGGAGAAAGCAATCTCCATTTTTCTTTGAGAGATAAATATTTTGTTTGAATATGTTGTTTTTTCTCGCCAGGTGTTAGTGTAAAGAAGAACAGCTCGCAACCCAATATGCTGCAGGTGGAGAAAGACAAAGTATGAAACACAATTCTTAGATTTGCGTGCTTTCTTAAAGCCAGTAATGCTGAAATTGTTTAGTGATATTTAGATCACAATTTGATGAAAGTGAATGACGGAAATAATTCTACATTTATGTCAATCAGTCACTCGACTGAAGACTCTCTATCCATCTGTCTGTCTTTCTGTCTGTCGTTCA